TTTATATTTTTTATATTTATATTATACGGCACTGAAAAATGAATGGGTATATCAGGACTGCAGTTTTTAAATTGCAATAATTCATTCACACTTCTCTATTCGTAATCCTCCATTGAATTTCATTCATGTTTCATTCTATCAACAAAGCTGCATCGAATGTAATTGGAGCAAATTTGAAAATGGATATTTCTTTGATAACAAGCTGGAGATATGAACATTCTCTTATTTGGTATTTCCAGTGAAGAAAACTCGAAGGCATAAAAGATATCTGTTTCTGATAAACGACGAATATCTCTACTCAACAAAATCAATTGTTACTCCATCTCTTTATCGATCTCTTTTTTAATTGTAAAATGAAAAGTTTGTCGTAAAAAAAAATAAGATATCTATGACGAATAATCTCTTTTTGTAGTCGGAATCGAAATATATATTTAAACTATCCGTATCTGTATATACGAATGAGTAACATGTAAATCTCTGTCCTTTAGTCGCAATGTTGAAATTGCGAAGCAAGTAATTCTTGATATTTAATTTTATCTTGTTTCTCATTCCATTAGTATGTGATACTACGATTATTAAATATGGTGTTGTGATTCAATCGCAATTTCCCTCTTCACAAGTGTCTTTTCTAATAAAATTCACGTACATCCCCAATGAATTCTCTCTTACAAATTTCTATGCGAATCTCATTAATTTATTTATTTATTTATTTTTTTTCGTGAGATTTTTTCGTTCCTTCTTCGCAGCAATGGTCTACGTTACTTGTTGATTAGCTTGGTAATAACCGCGTTTTTCGTACGCGTTGCAAGCGGCGAGACAGAATGAGAATCGCCACGTGAACGTTCGCCTAAAGGGTATAATTTTCGTGGCCGACGCGGCAGTCGTTAGGTTTCTTCGTCACGTAGAAAATCGCCGATTCGGAAAGATGTTAAAAGTTCTAGGGAAACTGGCGTTTGGTCAATACCGGGATACGTTCTACGAATTCTGCGAGAGAATTCAGCTTTCGAGCTTTCTGTTAAAAGCATCGTCCGGTGAGATGGTTTTATTTCGCCTGCCGCAACACGGTAAAATACTTTTAACGCTAGCGCAGCACAACACGCGCGGCAACGAAAATCAAATACAACGCTCGTGTGTTGCATGCTCATCCGTTATCAGATAAACTGTAGAAATATTAGACCACTTCGGGAAATAGGCGTGCGACAAATGTAAAAACGTCACACGCGTGACGATGAAGATATAATTAATAAAATATAATATATTGCTTCTGCACTCGATCGTTAGATCGCGAAACTTCCCAAGTGATTGCGTGTATACAATAAATATCAATTAGACGAATGTAGCTGGAAGTAACGGGGAGCTACTCACTTGGTAAAAGAACTTTCGAACTAAATTAACTCGTAGACTCGGGAGTTGGTAACTGGTCGGGTCTTCACAGCGTGAGAAAAACTTTTCTTCGATTAGCTCCGAGCGTTAAATACAGGTAGATTGCGTAACTTGAACAATTAGTTGCAAGAATTTTGTAATTAAATTCTTCCCTATCGTTAGATTAAGTGGCGCCGGTTTACGTTTAAACGTTGTTTGCAAAATGCAACGAAAACTCTTGCCAAAGCGATAAAGTTTACCGGTCTTACAGGTGAAATTCCTCTTGGACTTGATCACAGCGAGAGAGTACCGGTCTTGTATCGCAGTCATACTTCCCTTAATTGCTGTTATCCCTCCCCCATAATTAAATATATGGAAGTTTGGCTTTAGTATCTTGCTAACTGCTACGATCGATAGTCTTCGGCTGGAAAGTTTTCTCGAACAGAAGACAGAGACAGAGAAGAAAAAAAAAAAAAGGAAAAAATTAACTCCATCTTCTCTCTCGAGTTCATAAAAAAAAACGATATTACTGCTGCGTTTTCAATGATTCGATGCTACGTTAAAAAAAAAAAAAGAACTGTTAGCAACAGATCTCTCGATTTGAATTTCTTCAGTAACAAACGACGCGAAACACTGTCATTTATAATCGACGAACCTGCAGTTGGTGGAGGGGGACGGAGGATATCCAATTAAATTGAATTTGCATTCATTCGATATGCGGAATCAGGAGTAATATTCGTACGCGGGCTCTGCCTGTACGAGAATTGATTTTGCCTAGAACAGTTTAACTCCATTACGCCGGCAGGAGAATGGCATAAAAATATGGCGGGGGACGTGCGTGGGTGAGAGACGCGGGCAGCGTGGCGCGGCGTATTTTAACCATAATTTGAAATTCAACGTTCGAAGAACATCTCTCGCGCCAGGGATAAGCTTTAAAATATATCAGCGTAAATTGCCGCCGTGCCACGAGGATATTACCTAGCGGGCTAACACCACTTGCGCAACGACGCCTGTCCGAGGCATTAGGATGTTATCGTGAAACACCGCAGTTCAGATGTTTCGTGTTTGTGAGATGCAGCGTGCTTCGAAATAATCGTTTGCCCAGTAAGAGAGATTAGAGGGCCCGAAAGTTAGAGCCCCGTCGAAATTTTTAACGTTGGGTTAACATAATCGTGATAACATAATGGTGTTAAAATAATAACAATCTGAGACGATAGAGAAGAACTTATCCTCTCGCAACTTTTGTTCCTGAGTATATATATCCTGTATCCCTATTTCCCGTCCGCAGTGTTATACAGAGGAGCAAGATATTTATAGTCTACAGCAGTAACATAATCTTATTCAGGACATAATGAAACGTTTGTATCATAAAATAGTACCTTGGCGCTAAGCTCCGTTGATTCTCAATTCCTACGCGTCAGTGATACAAGCCACAAATTATTAATCCTCTTGGACAGCATGCAATGAATAGAAATTTAATCGATAATTTCGACTTTTTATACCCGACAATTGAATGAAATTCTGAAGGCAGAGAAACGAGGTACAAATTATCCTTTCAAATTACGAGAGAAAGAGATTTGTAACTTATATCTGTTGATCGTTATATTCACCGTTATATTTATTCATCAACAAATCGTTGTGCAAAACGGGTCCAACGGTTGAAAGAAATTACGCTAACGGAATACATAAATACGTCTCGTAAAAAAATAGAAACTTCACGTTGTAGGTCCACGTACGAAATTAAGAATTAAGTATATTCTATGCACTAACATCTTCTCCGCGAATGATTTGCATTGATAGATGAGGGTGTGTTCGAGGGTGGTTGCGATAGATCGGCCGAGTTATCGTTCAAGGATCAATCACGACGAACATTTTGTCGGTATACAATACTGTCGTAGAACAGACAGTTCATGGAAGAATACAACTGGAAGAATAGAGACAAAAGGTAGAAATATTCCCTTAGCATCAGAGCGACAGCAGGATAAAATTCCCAATGGACGGCGATTGCCTGTCAATCGTAATCTCTTACTTATATTCTTTCGATGCTGGTGTCAGACAGTTCCACTGCACTTTCGCGCGACTCCTGTCGACGATTGGACAATATTTGCACGGAGTATTTCAGATCTCTTCAAGCGAGATTCGTCGATACATTTTAATACGAATGAGAAAGAGACAGGAGATGGTCAGGTCGTTTGATAAAAAAAAAATTAGAAACTTTTCTGGCAAGATATTTATGCATTCAAAGACTTAAAAATCCACAGATTTTATGTAAAAAAAAGAAAACAAATTAACGTGAATCTCGTGGAATTCCTTGGAAAATTAAATTCAAATTCCGTTTGAAAAGTTGGCAATAGTATTTGCTTATTGCCTCGACGAATGTCGATCTAGGAAATGAACAGTAAATTCGATCGAACATTTTAATAAAGTTTCCAACGATCTACGTTTCTCTCGTATACACGTTCGTAGAATACACCGACAAAGTTCGGTTGGGGAATGATGGAATACTCTGTATGTAGAAAGCAGAAAATTAAGCCATAGAAAGATCTCGGTTAGTGCCGAAATATAGCGATAGTTAGCCACGTTAACTTTGGTGTTGAAATGTTCGGCCAAAGATGATAAAACAGGTTCGTTTCGGTGATAAGCGTAGAATAGTATAAAATGTGGCCGCAGCGATGATCAATTCCTTCGAAATTGCAATGTCTGTTCCTCTTCAAATTTCAAATGATTTCACCAGGCTCTCTATGTATTTAGTCACTTTAAATAAATATTTCGAACGAGTTGATATACATTTCGAGAAAATTGAATTATAGAAAGGAACGTGTTCGCGTTCGATCGTAACATCGTTGCAACTACACTCTATACGCGTAAATAAATACACAGACGCGAGGACAATTATACAATTAAAACAACGAGAGAAATTAAAACAATTATTAACGGGGGGAGAATCGAGGATCATTTGACGAAAAACTATAACGCATACGGGAGGAGATGGAGGAGCATTGTTTCAAGTATTTGTACAGTAGAACCTCCATTATCTGAATTTCCACTGTTTGAACATTTGATTATCGATTTGTCGACGAAACGGAAACATCGTCCGCGATAATGATTGCGGTACGTGCATGTATAATTCACTACGGAATCCAACGTTGATACGGCAGAACGGTTTCAATCAGTGAACTCTGGTGATTCGAAGTTCGAAACGAAGAAAGTGAGGAATAAAGCTCATCGGGATTAACGATTTATGTATTCGATCGTCACAACGATGGAGAATTTCCCCCATTTTTTCTTTTTTCTCTCTCGTTCAGACAACGAAGAGTTCTACCGACGCGAAAGAATTCG